TCAAACTGGGACTGTTTATTAAATGTTTAAAGCTAAATTAGCAATGAGACTATTGCCATTCTAATATGAAACATTTAGACTTGTGTGAGAATTTGTAAAACTGCTCTAAATTTTGCAAGCACTTAGGTATACATCTATCCATTCACTTAACATGTTCATATCTACTACACAACTAAGTACAGCAGTCAGTCACTGTTCTAGGGACTGGGGAACATAGTGACAAATAAAAAAAAGTCAGTAATCTCACTGAATTGAAACTACAGAAGAGGCCAAGGAAGATACCTCTAAGAAGGTGATATTTCTTCTGGAGACCTAAGTGAAGGAAACAGAGCCATACACATATCTAAGGGAAGAACAAGAGAAAGAACATTAGAAATTAAAGGAACAAATATTATAGGGCTTGAAGAGGAAAAAAAAGATTACTGGTATGTCTGAGGAACACCAAGAAGGCCAACACTGCCAGAGGAGAAAAAGTAATCAGAAACATGGACAGAGAGATGGACAGATACACTGTTTACATCTTCGAAGACCCTGCTAAGGAGCTTGGGTTCATTTCAATGTAAGGAGAAACCACAGATTTCTGACAAGATTGCTCTGGCAGTGAAAAAAAAAAAAAATGAGAACACAGTAACAGAATGGAAGAGGCAGATCAGTTAGGAGGCCCCTGCAGTAGTGCAGAAAACAGAGTGGAAAAAGGAGGTGATCTTTTCAGGTACCTCTAGGTACCTGATGACTCTAGTCATCAGATTACAGATGCTCTTTTAAGCTGTGGGATTGAGGTAGATAATCACAGAGGGAGTGAACACAGTAGAATGAATGCTGAGGGCTAAACCCTGAAACACTCTTAATATTTAACAGTTTGAAAAGGGGAAAAGCATCTTCATCTGAAGTATATTTTGTATTCAGGCTTTTATGGTTCCTTTTTCAAAGAATTAGAGAAATCCAGGTTGTTTGAAATTTGTTTCTAAGCAGTCGTATCTTTGACTACATAGAAAATAAAAATATGAGAAATAGGATAGAAATTTAAAAAATTATATTTTAAATGTGGCAGAACCTCTCAATAAACTAAGGTCCATTCAACTTAAAGCCAATAATTTCTAAAAATAAATTATTTCACTAAAATTGGAGTCCTTAATAAATAAAGGCCTCTAAATATAGAACCTGACATGTTAGATAGTTATACAAGTAGTTTTATTTTAACATAATCTGACCTACATTTGTTTAACTATCTGACATTGCTGACATGTTAGATACCTATAGTCAGGAAGTATAAAGACAACTAGAAAGTGAAACTGATTTATGGGCAAGAACTGAGAAAACAAGGAAAATATCTATGAGTAGGAAATTAACATTCTGAATCATTTCTGCTCATCTGTTTCATCTAAAGTAAGGTAGGTAATTAATGTCAAAATTAAAGAAAGTTTTGTGTTTTTTTAAAAAGAGTAGTCTCATATGTATTTCTAAAACTAATTATGTATCTCTTTTCAAAGGATGTCAATTTCAATCTTTTTAGATTGTAACCATTTCAGATATTTTTGCTGTTAAGAGGACAGGGATACTGAAGCAGAAGGATGTGAGTTCAAATTCAAATACTAACAGTTGCTTATCTGGGGGCCACTACTACACATCAAGAACCTGAGTGTCTTCGTTTGAAAGATAGGAATAATGCCCATTCCACAGCATTGGGAGCAGGATAAAAAGAGATTAAGTCACACAGAGACCCCCCCCACACACACAACAAACTTTTAGAGCTTTATAAATGTTAATCATTTTCTTTCATTCTTTCCTCCCTTTGCTTCACTGTTTCAGCATCTATAGCATTTACATGCTTATTTAAAAAGTCACTTTTTAAATGCTTTTCAAAGAAAAGGTGTCTTAAAGTGGTAATGATATCACAATCCCACCAATTCTGATCAATGACTTTTGAAACATTGTAATATTTTACTCTAATGAACTACACAGACCCTCAAGGAAGGGTGTTTCATTCCTTTGTTAGCAGATGAGACATATTTATAATATGGAAAACAGATTATAAGACATTAAAAGGCATTAAAAGCATAGTTTGTATCAAAAATACCACAGCACTGCTTTTTGCCCTTTTGGCAAAAATCAAAGGTACAAATATCACAGGGTACAATCCTGAGGGTGGGGTGGGGAGGGGTAGAGACAGAAACTGACAGGAATTATTTACATTTTTGCTTTAGGACCAAGGACTGAATAATCATGACACTGCAGATTAAGGTTTACATTTTTCCAACTATTATTTTCTTATTAACTTTCTTATTAACTTCTATGTGTTAATATTAATATACTTATTATATTAATATTAACACACATAGAAGTTATTATATATTAATTATATTAATATTTGCACAGGTTTCATAAATAAAATCCCAGTTTTAAGTAAATTTATACTATAGCTGTTTAACTATATTATTTTAAATTTGCAAATTACTTTTTTCTGTAGTGTCAGCTTTATAGATATATTACTTTGAGTACATTTATGTAGGTTCTGTTAAAGCCAAGCAAGAAGCTCTCAGTGTCTGAGGTGTACCTAAAACAGTAACATCAGTACTTCTGGCACATTACACTTTTGCCACTGCTGGAGGGACTTGACTATCTTAATAGATCTTAAAGAGATAAAGAGCTGAGGAAAAAACTGTGCATTTGGCTTTCCTCTGCAATGTTTCAGGTCACTTGCTCATTTCCAACTTCCACAGAATTTTTGACGCTGTAAAGCTTGAGTGAGCTAAGAATATTATCCCACAATTAAGGAAACAGCTCACCTAATAACCAGTTATCTAAATGACAAGCTTCTGTTTCTTCCTTATATAATTCAGCCACTCTGATCCTTTTCCAGAATTCTCTCTCTCTTACATTTACTATTATAAATACAGAGCCTACACTGCCCAGACAGGCTGGGCTACTCTCTGGTAACAGAAAGTAAAAGGTACACTATTGACTGCTGGCATGTGCAACATTGTTGGTTTCTGAAAGGACATTTTAATTTTTCTTCAAATAAGTAATATGTCTAAATTATTCTGCCTCCTTCACTGATGCAATCAATTCAGATTAAAGAAAATATGAATACTCCATAATATTATCTGTTTTTAAAAGTTCTTTACTTATTAATAGAATGTCATCCTGAAATAGAATTGAAAAAGACTTGAAATAATTTATGTGGTCTTCAGAACATTTAAAAGAAGCTAAAAAAAAATATCTAAATTTCTTTTTGAAATATCTCTCCTTTAAATTTTGAAGATTAGGTGTTTTCTTTTTTAAAAAGAAATTTGTTGTTTTTAGATACACAGGATAATAGTATAATTTTGACATATTATACAAAAATGGAGTATAACTTGTTCTAATTAGGATCCCATTGTTGTGGTTGTACATGCTGTGGAGATAAACTGGTCATGTATTCATACAAGAGTACAGGAAAGTTATGTCCAATTCATTCTACCGTCTTTCCTATTCTCATCCCCACTCCTTCCTTCCCCTTTGTCTAATCCAATGAACTTCTATACTTCCCCTCTCTAACCTCCCTTGTTACGGGTTAGCATCCATATATCACAGAGAACATTCATTCAGCCTGTGGTTTTTTAGGACTGGATTATTTCGCTTAGCATGATATTCTCCAGTTAAGTTTATACTGTTAATCAGAAGCTTTTAATTCTACTTGAGAGACTTCTAATATGCATTTTCCTCCTTTCATTTTTGTAATTCTAATATTCATTAGAATCTCCAGCAAAGGGGGGGATAATGAGAAGAAAAAGAAGGGAAAGGGCAAATTCATTCACTTTAATAGTTACCAGACAACTAAGTTAAAATTTTATTTGTGGGGGTTAAGAAAAAAGTGAGGTGACAGCAAATGATTAAAATGATATAATGAGGCTAGGAATTCTTTCTGTTTCATTCATCTACATTAGCAATCTTCTCCAGGCTTGACTGCAAAAATGCTATATGCTCAGAGGCCTTTTCCCACCAAATTCTTTCATCCATTCTGCACAAAAGTAGGGACTGAGTGGGCTAAGTAGTTCAGGTACTGATATATAGCAACACAAAAAACAAAATCCATGTCCTCAAGGACCCTAATGTCCCAGTAGGCAGAGAAACATATTTTTAAAAAGCACCAACACACAGCATATTAGATAGTAAGTGCTATGAATGAAAATAAATAGGGGAAGAAGGATATGGAGAATCCAAGGCAGGCGAGGATTTACATCTTAAACTGAGTGGTTATTTGTCTTCATGATCTCATTAAAATTTATTTAAAATTTAAAAATCGACACATTTCTATTTTTCTAAGCATTAAATTGTATGCAGGGATTTATTTTAAGAACAAATTTTTGCTACAGAACTGGTAAATAATCTCAAAAATTAAGATTTTTAATGACAGAATGAATGGTCATTCTTTAACTTTTTTTAAAAGATTGCCTCATATTATTTTCCAAAGCTTTTGAAGGTAGATGTATCACCATCATGTTGATTGGTGATACAATAAATTCTATAACAAAACTTGATACTTATATCAAAATGACTACCAAGTAATATAAAACAGCATTACAATCTTGAAAAAAATTTTTTTCATATGTCAATTTGCTGGTTTGTGTAGGTAGAACAAATAGCTCTTCAATATATGTATGACTGATGTCCACCTATATTCCAACAGTGGCTGAAAATCATTCATGAATGGTATTGTTTTGCTGTAATGACCAATTATCTCCCAGGCAAGCTGGGCTTCTCTCTCGTAACATGAGACCCCTGAGAACCCAGAATGCTGGCTAGGTTCCAGACAGAGGCAGCCTTGTCAAATAAGCTTCTATTGGTTACAACCACAACCTAACTACCTACTTCAGTCACCGTCATCCTAAAACATAAAAGCATCTAAGAAATATCAAGCATTTTCAAATTACTCACATCATGACTCTTCCCAGGATTTTATCAGACCAAGTATTTTTAAAAGTAAGAATACTAAAAATTTTGCTCCCAAAAAAGAATACCTCCATGGTGATGTGACAGGCTCCCTCCATTTGCAAGGATCTCTTCTCTAGCAGCTGCCTGTATTTGGAAACAAAACAACCAATCACTGCTACTTAGATTTCACTTTGGAATTAAAGAGTAAAACCCAATTCCCAAAGGAGATGCATACTTCTTGTGTTAAATAATAAAACAGAAGTCTAATTTTCCTACCTCATAGGTTAATTTCATTTAAAAAGCAATTAAACTTTGTGGGTTAGCTTTATAATTTTTTTCCTAGTGAATAGTCATATTATCTACAAAGATTACTTTGAGATTCTAGAGGAGTAAAGGCAAAATAACCACCTCAACACTAAATTGTGAACAGGTAAAAAGTTATAAATGTGGAGTCAGGTTTTACTTTGAGTAAATAGCTTATGTCAACAAGCAGCAGTAACTAACATCAAATGACTACTACTGTATGTCCAGAAAGGTACCAAGCAATTTGCCTATAGTATCTCTTTTATTTTCACTGTAGTCTTAAGGAATGATTACAATTACTCTCATTTCACAGATACAAAAATCAGGCTTAACTAGGTTAAATTACTTATCTAATACCACACAATGAGCACCAGAGGGGGGAAAAAAAATCACCCACAAAGCTATTGGGGATCAACCATAAAAATCCTTCGGGGGCTGGGGCTGTGGTAAAGTGCTTGCCTAGCATGTCTGAGGCACTGGGTTCAACTCTCAGCACCTCATATAAATAAATAAATAAAATAAAGGCCTATCAACAACTACAAAAATATTTTAAAAAATCTTTATGGAGAACACTTCTTAGGTCAATGACATGAGACAAATTACCTATCAGTTCTACAGGTATAAAAGTGTGGAAAGAAAAACCTTGCTTTTTTTTTTTTCCTTGTTGTAACTCTCCTGACATACTACATACTGATTAACTTCCTTATGGAGCCCTCAGATTAAAAAGATAAACACTTATAACAAAATACAGACTGAAGTGCAGAGTAAAAAAGGGTAATAGAAAGTGGAATTACCTTTGATTCTTAATGATTCATGAATATGTAATAGTCATGAGGTATCTACAGTGCCCTGCATGTCTAAGACTTTCTCAAGTGCACATAAACCATGAGGAGGCAGGTCAGGGTAGAAGAGGGCCCTGGTAGGACAAAGAAATGGACCACATCCCATTGCAATGTAATCTAGAAGAACCTCATTATTTAGGATTTAGGGTTCTCCAAAAGAATCACAACTATGCTAGTCCTGCTCTTAGAACTTATCATTTCTAACAAATTACTTCAATAAGACAATAATTCCTTGAGATCAGTAGCACTTAGCAAATGGCAGCTTAAACTAGGAAAAGGAAACAACTTCACTTGTGCTACTGCAGGGAAAGAACCTTTGGTGGCCAGCGAATACCACCAAAGCACTGAAAAGCTAAGGGGCTAATACACTCAAACTTTTAAGGGCTGATAAATATATTCATTATTTTGATTATGGTGACAGTACTACATACTTACATCAAAACATCAGGTTGTATACTTTAAAATGTACAGTGTACTGTTATTTTAATTATACTTCAAAAAGCTGTTAACAAAAAAAAAAAAAAGGAAGAGGGGTAGGGAAGAGCCCACCAAATCATGTCTATAGTTCAGATCTAAACACATGTATATGTGCGGCACCACTGAAATTATGGACTGGCACACAATGGAATTCAAATACTATGGCACCTGAGTTTTTAAGAAAACTGTTTCCTACAGAGTCCTCCATAGTTCCATTTGTTTCTTTAACTCTACACATACTTGTTTTGAGAAATACTGGCCATCAACAAAAGGTTTTATAAAAACTAGCAGCTTTGGGCTGGAGTTGTGGCTCAGTGGTAGAGTGCTCGCCTAGCACATGTCAGGCCCTGGGTTTGATCCTCAGCACCACATAAAAATAAATAAATAAAATAAAGGTACTGTGTCCAACTACAACTAAAAAAATAATAATTAAAAAAACCTAGCAGCTTAACTATTGTGAATTGTGCTGCTATAAATATTAATGTGGCTATGTCCCTGTAGTATGCTGTTTTTAAGTCCTTTGGGTATAGACCTGAGGAGCTGGGTCAAATGGTGGTTCCATTCCCACTTTTCCAAGGATTCTCCAAATTGGCCGCACCAATTTGCAGTCCTACTAGCAATGTATGAGTGTGCCTTTTCCCCCACATCCTCGCCAACACTTATTGTTGTTTGTATTCTTAATAGCTACCATTCTAACTGGAGTGAGACAGTTTTGATTTGCATTTCTCTAATTGCTAAAGATGTTGAACATTTTTCATATATTTGTTGATTGATTATATATCTTCTTCTGAGAAGTGTCTGTTCAGTTCCTTGGCCCATTTATTGATTGGGTTATTTGTTTTTCTGGTGTTAAGATTTTTGAGTTCTTTATATATTCTAGAGATTAGTGCTCTATTTGACATGTGTGTGCAGATGAGTGGATAAAGAAAATTTGGTATATATACACAATTGAATATTATTCAGCATTAAAAGAGAATAAAATCATGGCATTTGCAGGTAAATGGATGGAGCTGGAGAATATACTGCTAAGTGAAGTTCGCCAATCCCAAAAAACCAAATGCCGAATGATTTCTCTGATTTAAGGATGCTGATCCATAATATGCTGCTAGGGGTGGGGGGGTGGAAGGATTAAATGAACTCTAGATAGGGCAAAGGGGAAAAGGGAAGGGAGGAAAAGGGAGGGAGTATAAGAGTAGGAAAGACAGTGGAATGTGATGGTCATCATTACCCTATGTACATGTATGAAAACAAGAAGGATATGACTCTACTTTGTATACAACTGTAAATATGAAAAATTGTGCTCTATATGTGTAATATGAATTGTAATGCACCCTGTTGTCATATATAACAAATTAGCAGCTTAATTTGCTTACATACATTTTCAATACACAAAGAATTTTTAAGCCTAGAATAATATTAGGACAACACAGACCAGAGCATAACCTCAATAGCAATTCCCACATAGGGATGGATAGGCTGCCAAAGGGATGGCAAAGATTCTTATTGTTATTTAATTTCATCAACTATCATGTACTATAAATAACAATCAAATAATCTCAGGTGATAGCTATACAGAACAATAATTTTAGACTTAGAATTTAGTACACAAACCAGTACAACAAGTACATTTTTCATTTCTACAGGCTAGCAGCCAGGCATACCAGCTGTAATTAAACAGAGTCAAACTAAAATTCACAAACTGATACCAAAATTTATTCAAATTACTAAAAGAATGTGAAAGCTATTGTGTATATGCATGTATACAAAATTACCTCAGTTTGTTCAAACACGGTCAGTGGGTCACTAATTCCCCTGTAGTTAAAGGCAAAATAGAAGTAGATACATGCACCTGCATCATAAGTCTGCGTTACCCTAAAAGAACAAACAGACAAAAATCCCCACAAGGGTTTTAAGTTAAGTGAGAACAGATTTAACATCTAGACAAAAATCAACTGAATAATCATTAAGCTATAACGTTATTTTCTTTGTGGTTTCCTACTTCATGGAAGGAATGGAGATTGGCTTTCTTTAGAGCTATTACTAAAATAGGTAAAGTGAGAATTTGGTGAGAAAAAGGAGGATTGTACTTCCATTTAAGTGCCAATTTAGTCAATATTTTAAGTACACTCTTGACTGTGCCAAGTTACTAAAACTTGAATGACAAAATTTTTTTTATACATTTCATTAGCATTTTATGACAAAATGCTATTTTGTTATCTAGAAGTAATGGGAGATATAAGTAATATGTGTGAAAATATATTTAAAATTTAGACAGGTAAATACCAGTATTAGTTGTTTTAAAATGCAAATTCAAAGTAACATTTAATAAAAGCATGACAATTAAAATTACACCTATCTTGATAATAAAAGTAATATTTTTCTCTTTGACTAATATGTATGCATAGTCCTTTTGTGACTGGTAAAAGACAATATTCAAGGGACATCCATATTACAAATAGTATAGCTCCATTATTTTTCAAAAGCCAAGTATTCTTGCCAAAAGACCAAACAATGAGATGTATACACATAGATATTAATTACATTTTGTATGGGCACAGTAAAGACACATGAAGTAAATGTCTCCTACTTAAGAAAGGTGGTATTAGACTAGAAACAAGAAATTTGGTTCTGTTCATTGGCCCCATCACTGAAAAGCAAAAACATGAAATGCATGGAATAAATATGGGCATGCAAACACTGACTAAAATCAATTTTCATTATTTTATAAATCTATATTGGTAAAATATAGGCAAGTTATAACCTCTTCAAAGTATATTAAGTTGACAGCAATACTATGAACTTGTCATTTGTTTTGATTTTCTAGTTCAAGAGACTTAAGGATTCTGGGCAGAAAAAATTAAAGCACTGAAATTGTTGCTATTAAAGAGGGTAGGGGGAGCTATTTAGTCCTCGCTATAATATTAAAAATAAATGAAATAAATATCAACAACATTTTTTTTTCTTCACAGTAAGTCAAGTGAACTAGAAGAAACTCTTATAAGATTTCTATAGTTGATACAAGATACAGTCCCAAAACACAGAGAAACAAATACGAGTAAAGAATGCTGATATTTCTGAGTTCAGTTCAATAGGCTATCTGATGATGCACTAGAGACCTTGAGAGAGACAGAGAGAATATAAAGACAGACAACATTAATCACTTTTTGCAGCCTAAAAAGCACTCTAGACTCTACAAAATACAGATGGGAAATGAAAAGGTTATCACATTGAGTGATGACACAAAGAATAAGAAAACCTGTGTGGGTCAAATTAGGAAATGTACCTAGTAATAAAAGGTATGCCTAAATGAAAACTGAAAGAAAATGGAAGATATAGTTCTATGTAAGAAAAATGCCATATTACTAACATACAAGATAAGTCAATCAGGAGATAACAGAGGAGACTAAGAAAGATAACTATGAGCAGAGGAAGCAGATAAGCAATAAGATGGAGGAAACATAGTAGGGACAAAATGAAAATAACCACAATTCTGACATGAGGAATAAGAAAAACCAAGGAATATGAAGACGAAATCAAGACCAAAAGACCAATGGTGAGCAAAGGCTATTATTAATACTGCTGGGACAGCATGTGGAGATGATCTTCACTTTACACCAGTTCTACAGTACCCACACCCTTTGTGGCACAAAGACTTGCTTTTTTTCTCCCTCACTTCTTCACTTATGCCACTCACCCTGCCTCAATTACTGTCCTTCCTAAGTATGAGCTCCCTTTTTCCTTCTCTTCAAAAACTACCATCCATATCAAAAGAACACAGAAGCCAATTTAAAGTAGTTCCTAACTGCCTAATCTGGGAAAACTTAAACAAGATGAATAGTGATAATCATGGATCTAACTCAGAGAAGAAAACATATATGGATTCATACCAATCAAAGGGGGATTCTTCTAGTGAATTCCAACTGATATATGTAAAAGAAATGATGAAAATAAAAGTTGCCATTTGAAAATTTCACAATAACAACTGTTATTATCTGAAATTATTAATGGGAGACTGATGATTTAGGAGACTGTATGAGAAACAAGATGTTTACATAGTCTCAAAATTTCTTCCCAAAGGGTATTTATTAAGTGAAATAGGAAAAAAGAGTAATGTTAGAGCTGTAAAATCAGGCAGGCACCATTTTAACCAAGTAATCAAAGTTAATATCATCAATAATATGACATATCAATGTCATGTTCCTGTTGATATGATGTTCCAAGGTTATTCTGTAGCCTTTTTGCCAAAATGTATAAATTGAATTCAATCACAAGAGAACATGAAAAAACAACAACAACAAAAGGAAAAAAAAGAAAAAAAAACTGAATGTCATTTTACAAAACAACTGGCCAGTGAATGTAAAAAAGTGTACAGGTCACGTGAGATAAAGAAAGTGAGGAACTGTTCCAGATTAAAGATGATTGCAAAGACATGAAATCTAAACACACTATGTAAACTTAAGATTGGATACTGAACCAAAAGAAAAAAAAATAGTGGGAGAAAGGGTAAATAGAAGTGTCTAGATTAGTTAATAGTATTTTAACAACACTTTTTGTTTTAGTAATCATCCTGTAATGATGTGTAATATTATATTTGGAGAAGATGAGTGAAGGGTATATAGAAACTGTTAGTTTTGCAACTTTTGGGGGAAAGTCTGGATTATCCCCTCCCCCACCACCCACCAAAACTAAAAGTTTAAAAGCAGTGTAAATGTTTCTCTAATTGGCCTAAATAGCAAAAAACAAACAAATAAGCAAACAACAACAACAACAAAAAACAAACCCATCTCCTTCTGGTGGTTTCCCCCACCAATCTAATTATACTACTGTTAAGAGAGCCAAAACACACTAGATAGAACTTGGTGATCAGTTATAAGTCTTCCAAACTTCCTCAAAGTTAACAAACATGAGAACTTAAAGCTCAGAAAAAATACCAAATGAGATCAGACTAGATGAACTATAGCATCTTCACTAAACTTATATTAACAATTAGAAGGACTTGGAAAACAAACTGAATTGACCATATTAAATACAGTGAAATGACATGAGCTTAAAATGGTGCTTAAGAACCTACATGTGTTCATGTTGTATATATGTACATAAAAGATACCAAGAATATTAATTAAATATATTATAATCTGGGCTTTCAAAATGCAACTAGGAAACATTTAAAAGGGAGCTCAGACAATCCTAGTCAAGTCTCCAAATTCAATCTATGGAGGTTTCCACGAAGAATTTAATTTAACAGAAGGAACAAATACAGAGGAAATACTTTCTTTAGTACACAATACAAACAGAATCTGATCTAAAATTTTAATAGCATTTTAGGCCAAATGTTAGGTGCATCAGAACAGAAGAAATGAACTGTTTAACAATGCTACTGTCAATTTGCCAGCTGTGTTTTTCTTCTAGTGTTAATTCACACTCATAAAAAGATCCCTTGAACATTTAAAGTTCCAGATTTACAAAGTTTAAGAAAAACTGGAGAATTATTTTAACTATGAGTGCACTATCATTAGACATAAGCAAATTCAAATAAAATTTGACAGGTAAATGAATGAGTTTACAGCACTTGGTAAAATATAACTCGATTCATTAATAACAACACTAGAATAGGTAACTAAACATTAATTGAGCATTGCCATCTTCCAGCAAATCTAGGATGTGGATCACCAGTTCAGTTTTCATAGATGAGCAGATTACTAACGTCAACATAAAACATAATGGGCTTAAATGATCAGTAATTCAGACAAAGATAAAATTTAATAATAAAAACACCTTTTGGAAAACCTCCATTTGGGTCCACTTCAGAAAGTAACTCAGATCTAACTCCTTTTAAAACAGATTAATTCCAGCACTAAAGACACTTAATCACTAACCTCTTTCAAAATGATCTGCACAAATAAAAATGTGGCTGTCAAAGTCACTTCATTATTTTTTCATTTCTAAAACTTTTTTGTGCTTTATTCTGTCTGGGGTACTTTCTTACGTTAGAGTCACTAACAATTCCTTCCCATATGACTTCCTTAAAAGAGTTAGGTTAAAATATCTATTCCAATGTACAAATTACATTTTAATGGTTAAAAATTAAATAATCCAATAAATGAACCCTTATAACCTGAATTAGTTTTCTTGGGTTCTTTGATTTTAGAGTTATTAATTATTTAAAAATAATCTTGGAATAGCTTTTTTAAAAAACTGGTTTGAAAAATGCATCTCATACATTCAATAGAGAATAATCTCCTTGGTCACTTTTAAGCAGATCAAATAAAATTAAATAAAAATCAAAACACTAGTTAAATGTTAATTTAAAAAAAGTAAAAGAATGATTCAAAATTCTAATTTACCAAAGCTATTTAAATAATTATACTTTGGCCATTCTAAACTGGTTTCATAAAGTAATCACAAAAACTGAGCACATAGAACTTTTATAAGAAAATCATTATTATAAAAATAGCTACTTAATAAACACAACTCTTAAGGTTTAGATCTGGAATGTCCCCCTAAGTTTCATGTGTTCAGAGGTGAAGCTCTGAGGAAATGATTGGATCATGAGGGCTTAGAGGATTAATGCAATAATGGCTGAATAAACTACTGGAAAGTGGGACCTAGTTGGAGGAGGTAAGGCACTAGGGGCATGCCCTGGAAGGGTTTATCTTCTCCTTGTCCACCCCCTGACTTTCAGTTGCTATGAGATGAATTGCTTTCCTTCACCATGTCCTTCTGCCATACTTCTGCCTTGGAGCTGGCTAACCATGAACTCAAAGTTCTAAAACGTAGAGCGAAAATAATTTTTTCCTTTTCTACATTGTTCCTGTCATGTATTTTGATCACAGCCACAAATAGCCAACTAACAATAACATATAGCCAATTCAATTTGATTATATTAATTCTAATGTCTACAAAACATAATAAAGATGCGTAGCCTTACAAATACTTTCTGAAAAATGAAGATTTAACTGTTAATTATGGAGTACACTCCAAGGCAGAATATTTTGCTTTCCACTCATTTTCAATTAAGTAAATATTTATCACAATGAAGGAAGAGGAGGTTCTAAAGAGACACTGAATAGGGAGTTGGAACAAAAGGAGGAAGAGAAGAGGGCAAAAATATATAAATTTCCACTTGACCAAAAAAAGGAATAATACTTTCTCAACTACACAATAATTAATTCTAGTTTATTATTCTCTGACTTAAAATACTTCAAACTTTAATGATAATAAGTCGCCTTTGGATATTTGTTTCAGGATTATAATAAAAGAGGCCTAATAGATTGTCAAGAGCAGAAACAAGGATCAATTTGAGATAATATGAGTAAATACAACTTTTTTTTCCTTTAGATTTTAAGGAATTTAAAGGTTCATTTTTAAAGACACCAATTTTTTAATTTAAAAATTAAAAATGTTACATGTACATATATTCTTTTTCAAAATTTCTTTTTAGTTATAGATGGACACAATATCTTTACTTGGTTTATTCATTTTCATGTGGTGCTGAGGATTGAACCCAGTGCAAGATGTGCGAGGCAAGTGCTCTACCACTCAGCCACAACCTCAGCCCCTACATGTATATTCTTACAACTTTATTTAGAAAGGTTTTCTCCAAAGTCAATGACTAAACCAACATTAGCTTTATGAAGTTATGGTTTTTTGTTATATAGAACAAGGCCTCTACTTTTCCTTCCTTTGGACATCTCAAATGCCCAGTCAATAATTGTTAAAATCTACATTTTAAAAATTTTATTTTCTCTATTCCAAGTATACTTGTTCTAAAGCATGTTAAAATACTGACTTGACTTGATACTTTCTGTAATGCTCATCTAACCCTGAAAGATTCCCCCATACAGAAACAGAAAAGACCATTTGCAATGAGAACTTTCTCATTGAAATGAGCAGTTTCCTCAGATCTCGTGTTAGAATTCTACCTTCCTGCTCTTCAGAAGCACACATTTAGCAAATGCTTTAAGGATACTTCTCCCAATGGAAGTAATTTTACAATACCAACTTTTCAAAGTAGGCAGGAAGTTGGCAAGGTGGGTTGGCAGGCCCAGGTTCCTGGGCTGGAATAGGCCTTGATCTGTTTCCCAGGCTGAAATTAAGTAATTCAAATCAGAGAAATAAGCTTCATTAATAGAAATGCAGATACCCTTTGACTTATGATGGTGTTTTGTCCAAATACAATCATTGTAAAAATACTGTAAGCTGAAAATGCATCTTAAATATGCTCAGAACACTTAAATTAGCTTATAATTGGGAAAAATCAACACAGTCTATTTTGTAATAAATTGTTTAATATCTCATGTAACTTACTGAATACTCAACTGAAAGTGAAAAAACAGTGCTTGTGCACTATTGTGAATTTGAAAACTTTTAAGTCAAACCATCATAATTCAGGGACAATCTTGCATATAGAAATGTTATGCTGAAGCACACTTGTTTTTGAAGTCCAGTGTTAGGCGTACTTAATAACAGAGACACATTATTTCAAAATTATCTACTTTTTTTTTTATTTTGTAAAAGTTTGTTTCTAAAATATTAGATGTGTTCTTGAAAGCCTCCCTCAACACATACAGAATAAAATTGAGGCAGTTACACAATACAGAATGCTAGATCATTACTGTTAGATTCAAATTAATTCTATAACTTTTTATAGAGAAGTCAATTGTTTGACTTGATACATTTCATCTTCTGTGTTTGCACAGAAAATTAATATCAAAAGACTGAATACAAAATGTCCTTGCTCAAGGAATCTTCCTTTTTTGGGCTGGCGCTATGTAACAAAGATCATCAGCTAAACACACTGTCCAATATGGAAAATACTAGCCACACATAATGTTATACATTTTTTTAAATAAATTAAATAAAAACTTTAAATTTAACTTCACAATAACACTAGCCACATTTCAATCTCTCAGTAGTCACATATGGGCTTGTGGCTACCATACAGGACAGTGTTGATACAGAATACTTCCATTATCAAAGAAAGATCTGTTGGAAAGAGCCAAGTTAATCATCATTTGAGTCATTTGTGCCTCTTAGTCCTCTATCCCTTTCCTATCTCCTTAATCAGCGACTAAAATGGTTAAAGTGGTTTTTTTTCCCCCCTCTGATGAAGAAAGAGCTATATTGACTATATATCTAATTCATAGCTGCTTGGCTACATATGTAATTTATACTTGCTGTGAATAAAGGAGCAGCCCTCTTTCCAAGAGCTTAGATCCTTGACTCTTCCCTGCCATGTTATCCAGATAGGACAAAAGGCTTTTGGAAGGCTGGCCTATTCCTAAAGAGCTCAGGACCCTGTGAAATCCTATTGATATATCCTAACAAGCTGGTGAGTAAAGTTCAGGGAAGCTTTCCAAGGAGAAAAAAACTGAAATTTTTCCTCAGCTGGAAATTATAATTTGATTAAATAAAGTAGTTTTTCAGAAGGAGTAAAAGAGCAATAAGAAAACTCACCTGCATGTAGAAAGAGGAGCAAACTGTACACCTTTCTCCTTGCATTCCCTTCTTATTCTTTCTTTTACATTTCTACAGAGATCTACAACCCTAGAAAAGAAAATTGAATAAAATATTACACTTTCAAATGAAAACTACACAAATTCTAAGAAGTGCTGGTTTATCTGGTACCCTTCATGTTTGTAAAATCTCTTAACCATAAACTTTCATAGTTACTCTTTAGAGTGTACAAAAAGAGCCTTGATCATTCATATTAGGTCCTCCATTCATAACTTTCTTTGTTGCTTTAGAAGAAATACAAATCAGAAGAGTAGACTCAAGCCTCATGAATGGAGTTTCCCATACTTAGGAAACCTAACTTCAAAATAAACTGAATTACAAGATTTTACAAGTTACAAAAAATATGCTAATGAAAATTCAATTCTGGGTTATTCGAATACCAATCTTTATCCATGTCTAAGCAGCTTTCCTTAATTCAAAATAATTCAATCAAAAATAATTATGTCCTATCAAATGTGCCACAGACTATTCTCAAACTAAAATCCGGGAGAGATCTAACATGGCGGCGAAGGGACTGCATCACCCCAGGGCGCCGCGTCACTAAGTGGGAGAAAGACGATGCAAAACGGCTGAAGGATATCTTTGGGAAGTTCAAGTGAAATTGAGGTGCTCCAGAATCTAGTGGAC